GAGGCCTAAAAAGTGAACAGGTGAGTAGAGCTCAAAACAGAGCAAACTTCAGAAAAAAATAAAAGCGAAAATAAGACAGAATAATGATGCGGTCAGGGGCTGACAGCCTGTAGTTACATCATTAGTCTACACAATCAATTGATTAATGTGATTTATGAGACAGACAACTTGAACATATGGGCTAATCAGTTATTTTAGATACTTGGAAATTAATAAAGGGAAAGGGCATGAATCTCTTAAAGGACTCAATCCTACCAACTTTTATCATGTTATTTCACCATTATGAGAAAGAATCATAACACACAATGCAGAAAAGGAGATGGTCGCTTCACTCTACCTGTTCTCTGTGAGATGACTCTCCCAGTAACTGATCTTCCAGACCTTTCATGGTGACAGTGAAGTCGATAAGGTCGAGCACCCTTTTCGGGGTGTAGGCTGGATTGCAGTTTGGTGGTAATGTAAGTCAAAACTTATGCATCCACACATCTACACTCCTTGTCACCAACTCCTGCTATTATAAAAATAAGTTCAGGCACCTGGGTGGCTCATCACAAGCTAACATTCCGACTCCTTTCAGACGGTCATGGTTCCGGTTTTGAGTTCCAAGCCCGCCCACATTAGGCTCTGTGCCTTTGAACATTACCAGGCCTGCTTGGAATTCTCTCTCTCGGCCTTCTTCTCTCTGCTTCCTCCCTGATGCTCACTCTCTCTTTTTTCTCTCTGCATCACATCAAACTTAAAATAAATAAAAGCTTAAAAAATAATAAATAAATAAATAAATAGAAAAAAAAAATAAATAAATAAATAAATGTCAGTAGTAGTAAAACAAATGCACCTTACCGTGTCCTTTAGGATCAAGCATTACTTTAAAAACAATTATATAACTAAATTGTTGTAAACCGAAAAAGATGTTGAGCATTCACAGGGGCTTCAAACCCACTAGAGATGAAAGGAAGAAGGAGGAAGAAGGAGGAAGGGAAGGAGGAGGAAGAAGGAGGAGGAGTTCAATGTGCACTAATATATATCACCATCTTAATTTTGCACCAAAAGTGGTGTGATCATTCCCCACAAGTAGAGATGGATTCTTTTGTTTGGTTCATAGAGTACAGGTGGCATATGATGAGTTCAATCCGACTTCAGCCAGGTCACGATCCATGACGGTCTGATGAAGTTCGAGCCCCGCGTCAGAGCTCCTAGGCTGATGGCTTCCGGAGCCACCAGAGCCTCATTTCAATGCATGTCTCCCTCTCTCCTCTGCCCCTCCCGTTCATGCTCTGTCTCTCTACACACACACACACACACACACATACACACACACACACAGGAATTTGAAGTACTAGAATGTTGGTTTGTATTCTGATAAAAGTTCCACTTTGCTAACTCCCTACTGTGGTCAACATATAATCTGATCAGTAAAGGAACTTGCACACATACCTACAAGTCTTTTTGTTTGTGCAGCAAACTCTTTACTTTGTTCCGTCCACCTTTCCTTTTCTCCTGCCAAGCCACCAATCAGTGTGGAGGCGGTCTGCATCTTATGTCTGCACCTCTCGGCATCTTCGAGCAAGGTCTAAAAAGGGCCATAATCAGAAGGAAATTTATGTTCAGAAAAATACAGCCTCTGGCTCAAAAATATGATTTTAAACTATTATATATTATCTGCCCTTCTGAGACCCGGGAGCCATTTATTTCCTAGGAAGCATAAGATTCAGTGCCTTTGTGCCTGTGTCAGCCAGAGACTGTCTCTTATAAACCTTCATGTAGGGTCCCAAGCCAACGGGTCAGACTCTCCCCACATGTTAATAACTAAGAGATAATAGAGATCTGCATCATTTATGACTTCCCTATAAGAATAGAAATAAAATACAAGCATACTTACTAATATCATAAAGCACAAAGAAAAGTAAAAAAAAAATACATATCTTTGCTTGAAAATCAGGAATACTTCTCATGTTAAAATTCTAGCACCATTATTGCCTTATCTAACTCCACATCTCCTTTTTCTTTAGGTGAAACTTTAGATTATCCCCAGACTGTGGTGTTTTGAGGCTCGCTCACAAATCCCAGTGACACCTGGCTCAGCCAGTCCCTCCCTGGCGCTCTGCATGGCAATAAAAGACTTGAGCCAGACTTCCACATGCTGTGGCCACTCAGTGCTCGGTTCTTAGAAACAAATGGGCCTCTCTCTGAGACAACTGCTAATTCTACTTATAAAAACTTATATGTATGAAGTAACAGTGGAATAGTTAAAGATTTAGCTACAGGACCAGTCACTGAAGTTCATTTAAAACATATGTATACGTTACACATAATATAGTATATATTTATATGTTATATATGCTAAATGTCTAATAAAATAGAGCATTATTTAAATAAATTTTGGTGTGCCAGTGAATAAAAATACTCTGAAGCCATTAAAAATTATCTTGTGAAAATTTTCATAACTAAGAAAGATATTCATGATATATGACTAAGTTAAAAATTCAACTTATAAAGCAGTTATGTGTTGAATTATATTTTTAAATGTTATATTTTACATATATTTTTAAAACATATGTAAATCAAGGAATATGTTCAGACAGCAAATACTTTGCTCTTTATCTAAAATGAACTTTAGAGTTCATTTCCAGGATTACCTATGTGTATTTTCCGCAAGGAACACCAGTTGCTTTTGTAATAACAACCCAATACAGTGTTTTTCAAAAGCAAGATATTTATCCTAGTTTTTTCTCTGGGATTCTAGTCTGCTCTGTTTTCCTTTCCCCCTAGAGTTAATGCAGAAAACCTAAAACCCAGCTGGGGTGCACCCCCACGTCTATATGGCCCATATTTGTTTGTTTCTCCCCAAGAAGAAAGATATCAGCTGGGAAGTATGACATTGCATCACTTATTTCTGCCTCCCTTTGAAACAAACTTTTCATGTAAAAGCTATTTTTAAGATTAGGTTGTCTTGGGGCACCTGGGTGGCTCAGTTGGTTAAGCGTCAGACTCTTGATTTTGGCTCAGGTCATGATCTCGCGGTTCGAGAGTTCAAGTCCCAGGCTGGGCTCTGCGCTAACAGTGCAGATCCTGCTTGAGATTCTCTTTCTCCTTCCCTCTCTGCCCCTTCCCTGCTTGTACTCTCTCTCTCTGTCTCAAAATAAATAAACTTTAAAAAAAAAAAAAGATCAGGTTTTCTTCCTGAATTTCATCATCCCAACTCCCAATTGGCCAAATAAGAAAATGGCCAGGGCCCTCCTCTCTGGCTTTTTTTTTTTCTGGGACCCCACACTCCTTTAGGGGATGAGGGTACAGGGAAGAGAGAGGAGCAGATTCATGAGAGTTAAAGCAGCTCCCCCCACCCCCACCCCCGAGCTTGGTGGGGGCAGGGAGCAGAATCCCCTGGGTTCTTTGGGCAGTGTCCCAGCCCACTGTCTGTTAGTACTCCCAGAGAGTGACTAGCTGTCCAGAGGCCCTAGGGAAATGGGTCCCCCAAAAGGCACTGCCCTGTGCAGAGAGGAGCAGGGCACACACTTCTTCAGGGGACACACAGGCCTGAGTCGTGAGCTTATCCATCTGACCATGATGAACTGTGGGCTTGGGTGCCCTGCCCCTCCCTGCCTTCCATAAGCCTGTGGGCCTCCTGGACTCTCAAGGAGCCCTATGCAGGAGGAAGGAGCCACAAAGAGACTAACGGTCAGATTCACCCCAGCGTGTGCGAGGTAGATACACTCACAGCCAGATTTTGTGTTTTTTTTAATTTAAAAGCTTGACATTTGTTGAAACAAGTTTTCAAGTCAGAGCCATACCTCTACGGGAGCAGGTCTTGTATGGTCCTAACAGCAGATGCTCAAAACCAAAAAAGCATATTGAATGAATTAATGCAAAAATGTTACAACTGAAACATAATAAGATGAGGCGTAAAATACTTTTAGTGTATTCGGTAGCATCTCCCAACATAGGTGAGGGTCCAACATGGTAGAAATGAGTATGCCTTCCCCATAGTTTCTGAAGTAGGCGCTTTCAAATTGTGATGCTAATTGTCTCCTTATATTATGATAAGTGAATCTCACAGAGCATAATTAACAAACCCAAACAGGTTACATAGTTACTTCTCTAAAATTTCTAAAAAGCTCTTATTTTGCTTTCCGGCGATTTATCTTTAAGCAAAAGTATCACTCGTTCTGCATATAGTGAAACTGAAGTGTTTATCGAAGTTCCCTTGCTGGGACTCCCATAAGAGAATGGACTACCAGAGCAGGAATCTCAATCCTGACAAGAGAGGACTGAGAAGGGGCAGGAGGAAACTCCAGAAAATCATCAAGGAAAGAACAGAGTGAATCTACCTCTTATTTAACAAATGCAGGATTTATCAGAGGCAGATACAGATTTTATGGGGCCAGAAGCTTATATAATCTGGGTGGGTGGGGGGGGGCAGTCCACTTTAACAAAATTATTAGAGGGACACCTGGGTGGCTCAGTGGACTAAGTGTCCAACTCTTGGTTTGGGTTCAGGTCATGATCTCACAGATTGTGTGTCCAGGCCCCACATCAGGCCCTTTGCCGACAGCATGGAGCCTGCCTGGGAATATTTGTCTCCCTCTCTCTCTGCCCCTCCCCTGCTTGCTCTATCTCTGTCTCAAACAAATAAACTTAAAATTTTTTTTTAAAAAGGAGACAATTAGAGATTGTTTTACAAATACAAAACAGCCACGTGAACATGTATTTAGAGTGAGAGGGAAAAAAATCACTACAAAGTCCTGGTGACTTAGAAACTCTGGTGCCTTTCCTCTGAAATTTCTAGGCATTTTCTCTATGCTTATACACAAAAGCTTGCCAGTCATAACCCGGTTTCCCTTCCCCTAAAACACTACAAATCCCAGGAACCCCAGCTCCTAGAAGCCTAGACAAGTGAGGAGCTCTGTAGCATAAGCTACACTAGGTCTGCATTAACGCTGCCTGCATTTCCAGCCGCAAAGAGTCCCCAGTGGAACTGGAATTAGTATAAGTAAGATAAAGAAGTTGTTGTTGCCTAGTGGCTCAGAGATGTATGAACCCAGATTCTGAAAGGTCCTCCAGCTGCAAAGTATGCACAGGCTGAGAAGACGGTAGATGGCCATCAGGATGCAGCCATGTGGTCAGCCACGTAGGTCCAGCAGAGAGGCCTGGAGTGGACACCAGAAGGCCAAGGTCTAGTCCAGACTGTCCAGCCCAAGACCCGGAGCCACCCTCTGGACCTCAGTTCCTATCTCCAAAGTAAGAATTAAAATGTCCACCTTGCATCCCTTGCAAAACTGTTTCAAAGGTTAAATGAGATGAAGTGGGAGGTCAGGATTTGAAAACTGTAACAGAAAGTGCCTCATGAGGTGCTGTGCCATTGCCATCAGTAAGGAGACTCAGAATGTTTATGTTCCAGAACCTACTCCTATCTTGGCTGACCATCCTGACCTCTCACCAAGGTCCCTGGCGTGTGTTAGGAACAAACTCCAGGGCTTAGTGAGGGATTATATGTTGTATATGTAACGTGTCTATGCAAAATCAATCCCTTCTGGGAACCAAACCCTTGGAGAGAGAAGGCAGCAAAGGAACAAAGGGTTTACAAGAGCCACGTTGGTGTACGAAGGTCCCTCCCAGGCCACAGGACAGTTACCTGCTTTTCAGTCATGGCCTGCTCATACTCAGCTTGCACCACGTCGAGCTCTGCTTGCTTGTCGTCCAGCTCGGCCTGGGCCTTCTGCAGATCCTGCATGGCCAAGACGTAGCGATTCTCCTGCACCACCAAGTTGGCCTGCACAGGACACATCAAGGTGAAGGATGCACAGCAAACCAAGCCGCCAGCATCTCAGAGTCGGAGAACTCGGCGGTGCTCATATCTCTTCTCTGTTCTACCCCTAGAGTCTTCTCAAGCTGCATTCAGTCAAGATCAAACCTTAATGTGGACTTGATATAAATGTTTCTAAGCAGAAAATTATAATTCACTAGAAGTCAGAGAATTTTAAAGTGTCAGATAGTAAATATTTTAGACATTTTGGGTAAGAGGCAAAATCAAGGCTATTGTTCAGGCACTTATTTCAAAGCCATGTAAAAATGCAAAAATTCTGGACATCTGTGTGGCTCAGTCAGTGAAGCGTCCGCCTCTTGGTTTTGGCTCAGGTCATGATCTCATGGCTTTGTGAGTTTGAGTCGTGCATTGGGCTCTGTGCTGGCAGCGCAGAGCCTGCTTCGGAATCTCTCTCTCTCTCTCTCTCTCTCTCTCTCTCTCTCTCTCTCTCTGCCCTTCCCCCACTAATGCTATCTCTGTCTCTGTCAAAATAGATAAACTTAAAAAAGAAAAAGAAAAAAATGTAAAAATTCTCCTTATTTCACAAGCCATACAAATACAGGTGTGGGCTAGATTTGGCCTGTGGGCCAGAGTTTTCCAGTCCTGAGATGAAAGCATTGCAATATTTAATGCATATAGGTACCTTATAGCACATTGTAATATTAAGGACTGTAGAGAAAGAAAAACCAGAATATTAAGAAGCATCTGCCTAGTAGGACTCCTCACTGTTGATGAGAATGTTAAACCAAGATAAAGGATGGAACATGATTATTCACTAAAAATAAATGTTGTGAGTCGTGGTGATCTTGATGTAGTTGCTGTGGTTTTCATATATCGTTCGCCTTCCTTAAAACAACTGGTACCTTGAGCTGTGGCTAATCAAAAGTATATGTTTTAAGGAAGCTACTAAATTTGACTCAAAAGACATATTCAAAAGCAATTTGAGCAAAAGAGATGTAGAAAATAGCCCATGCATACAGGAATTTAGACGTTTTAACTAATTTTTTGAAATCAATTTTTTTTTTCCTTTTTAAGTCTCCAAAATGTTAAACTTGACTTTAATGGGGTAATCCGCTATAAGGGCCACATTCTTTCTGGGGTGTTTCAGAAGAAAAGATTACCTTGAAAAAGTTTTTTGGAAGTAAAATCATTTTCCTATCTGGAAACCTCAGGCTCCCAAACTTTGGCAGAATAATTCTTTAAGAGAAATTCAAAGTTCCATTACTTACTAGAACCAATGACAAGCTTAACAACTACAGTTTAGAAAGGATCTCACTCTTCGCACATTTTTTTTCTCAGGTCAGCTCTAAATTGCACCTGTTGCAGTGGCTTAAAAGAGGGGTGCCTGGATGGCTCAGTCGGTTAAGTTCTGGCTTTGGCTCAGGTCACGATCTCATGGTTCGTGAGTTTGAGCCCCACATCAGGCTCTCTGCTGTCAGTGCAGAGCCCGCTTCAGATCCTCTGTCCTCCGCTTGCTCTGCTCCTCCCCCACTCTCTCTCTCTCAAAACTTAATAAACTTTTAAAAAAAATAGATATTTTTGTCCAAGTTTAATATTGAAGGCTCTACTGTTTTTAAACATTCTGTTTATATGGACTGATATTCATGGTTTTCATGGTTTTCAAGGAGAAATCTCATTATCATTAAATTGAGTAGAGTCTAAATCGCCATCGTTGTAGCCGGTATTTAAGTTTTCCTCTCCGAGAGGTCGCTTGGCCCGTCTACAGGGATTGCAGAATAAAGGAAAGCAGCCCCCCCCAGGGTCTCCATCATGGCTCAAGGTTGAGGAGGTTCCAGCTGGCAATGAAGGAAAGTGTCCTTAATCTGTCCTCATTCAGGAAGCAGGGGCTCACGGGTGAAGCCCCTGCAGGGACACACGAAGTCAGAGGCGGCAGTCTGCGTCGCTTCACATATTCACCCGGATGACGACCAGCACTCCCTCCCTCCATCTTCCCCGTCTCCCTAAGCGGTACAGACAGAGGCTGTCTGTAACTGCAGTTATTTTCAGGACTGAACATTAGCGGGGACCTGATCCACTCAAGGCTCCCACAGGCTGGGTGCTCATTGCACCTCCAGGACCGACTGCTCAGAAAGAAAAGCGGAGTTTCTAGGAGCGAGTAAAAGGCTCCCCCTCGTGATGCTCTTCACTTCCTACTGCATGACCTGGACTGTCCTGGGACCGGGTGGAGGCTGAAATGTACTGGAATTGAAGAGGGGATTTCATTGTTCTCATGCAAGCCTTATTTAGAATGGCCATTATTTGGTACTGACTCCAGCTCATTTTGTTTAAAAAACAATTACAACAAAAGCTACCCATCGTGCATTCAACAGTAATTCCCTTAAAGACACTGTATGCTCATTCACTCGAAACATTTGCAAAGGATGCTCTGTATTTTGCGCTTGATATGGTGCTTCTAATTCATCAATATCAGAATGTCCACTTTTAAGCTATGCTGGAGTCTTCAAATGGTTCCCAAATTCATAATGTTGACAAAATGACATCATTTACATCCTCTAAAGTTCTCTGAGCCAAGTAAATCTTTGTTCTTTTAAGTTGCCCTAGGACCCCAAGGGGCCTCAGCCACTGAGTAAATGACCCTGGTATGGTAACAATTAGAAAATAAAATCAGATTTGCAACTCTATCCCTATCGTCTTTTCCACTCTCAGTTATTTTTATCATGATTATTAAGCTCCTTGGGTAGTTTATAAACATAAGTGGATTTTAGTCGATGGTTGAGAGAGATCAAAGTTACACAAAAGTGAAATAATCCACCAGGCCACACGTGTGATCCCTGAGCCATCGGTAGTCTATTTCCAAAACATGTATCTGCCTCTGCATCTGCCAGAGACTGTCAGTGGTGGTGGGGGAGCGTGTACATATGAAGCTTAAAAATGCAATTACTCGAAGGAAAACAGGCATATTCTCAAATCACATTAAAGAACAGAGAACATTCAGTTTCCTTCCCGAGGTAAAGGAGAGGAGAGGGAACACCACATCATACCTTGCAACCAACACCGGCCACCAATGGTGTGCCAACCCTGCCTCGGTTGTAACATTCCCAGCAGGACATTTATCAGGGTATTCTACGCTATGGTTTTCTGTGTTTCTTTTTTCCAAGTTAACATTGTGGAGCAAAAATATCCAGCAGCCCACAGTCAACGTGGCGCCCTTGTAGAAAGTCCATGCTTCGACTTGTACAATTCTGAACTGGAGTGCTATTACAGAGAAGAGAAATGTCCTGTGCTCGGCAGTTCTGTCCCTTGCCCTCCCTGTGGACTTGAGTACAATAACACCAGAGGCCAAAGGTTACTGTACACTCTGAGAAGACAAGGCCAGTTGGCCTTGAGCGCCCTTGCAGGCGCACATCACGCAGTTCCAGCTAGGGGGCTCACCTTTAGAGGCAACACTTCTCTGTTTATAGAAAAGAAGGAAGCCATGGCTTTGGTCCAGGAACAAAGACCAGCTACATTCCCACATACGCGTTTAGCAGTTTCGATGTTGTAGTCAGCCATTTCAAAGTAAGGATTCAAAAATTCTATCACTTCTTCATTGATTGTGTCTTTTGGGAATTGCTATGAAAGAAAAGAGTAAAATTAAGTCAAAATGCTTCTTTCCATGAGGCCACATTCACATTGTGCTCACAATGCCATTGAAATTGTTGAACTAAGGAATGAATGAACGACATCATATTTTGTTGATATTTCAGGATATTGGACAAAAGTCCTGAAAGTGAAAACAGAGGAAGCAGTGACAGCGAAGAAGTCGGAGCATTCTTTATCTTCTGTGAACAAGAGATACCAACCCTAAATAAATGTTCCAGGATCCAGGGAAAGAGTAAATTATTTAGGCCATGAATACTAACATGGTTATTAAAATTTCCAAAGCAATAACATGTTCATGTCATTAATCCTAAATAGGTGGATTGTAAGCCCATAAAATCAATAATGGAAAACAAATACACTCTGGTATTTTCAGCCTGCAGACAAAATATGTTTAGCATTTAGCAGCAACTAAATGCTTAATACATTCAAACAGAGGTTCTATTAAACTCATCAGAAATACGAAGGTAACTACTTGGACATTTGGTCTTGAGGGCAATGAATTAATTTTTAATCATAGAATTATCCAGAATATGAAAGAACTGTTAGCTTCTGAAGGGATAAGATTCAAAAATAGTAGCATAAGTGGATTAAGAATGCCTTCCTGCATCAAGAGAAGACTGGCCAAACAATGAAACTGGACCTTCCTCGAGTGGTGTTTGACATCTAAAAGAAGCTGAGTAGGGGCACCTTGGTGGCTCAGTCAGTAAAGGGTCTGACTTCAGCTCAGGTCATGATCTCACGGTTCATGAGTTCAAGCCCCACATCAGGCTCTGGGCTGACAGCTCAGAGCCTGAAGCCTGCTTTGGATTCTGTGTCTCCCCCTCTCTCTGCCCATCCCCTAAATCAAAGCTTCCACAGAACATGCACGGTACAGGGCGGAGCACACACACTCTCATTCAGACAACCTCCAATGCAAGTTTCTTCTATGAGCCTGGAGAAATGATGAAGGCATTAGAAAACTCAGAAGAATATTTGGGAGCAGCAGAAGGGCAATGGTGACAGAAGGCAAATGGTGAGGAAGCTTCCAAGAGCAGTGACCCTGCCACCAGGCACATAGGGCAGGAGCCTGGAGTCACCTGCCAAGATCCCATGAGAAGTCCAATGCCACTGTTGCACTTTTCTGTGAAAACTCCTTGATCTCCTCGGTCACCATTGTCATTTCACATATGCTCAGAGTTCATCACCACCTGTGACTCCTTCTTGGTGACAACTTATGTCATAGAGTGCCACGTTTTAATTATCTGGGACAAGTCTGTATGGCCACCAGTTTCATAAGCTGCTCACTGTTACAGCTGCTGTAAGGTGCCTCACAAGACGCTCTAGCCTCACAACACTTGGGCATGTGGAATTGAAAACTGAATGAAAGACAGCATGAAGGTTATTGCTTTGGAAACAGATGTGACTTTGGTATTCCCCATTAGTTGTGTCACGGTCCAAATATGAAAGATAAAACAATAAAACTTCTTGAATAAAACATAGAAACACTTATTCTGCCTTAGAGGGAGGGCAAAGATTTCCTGAACAGAACACAGAAAGCACTCGTGGGAAAATATTGATAAATTGGGCTACATCAAACTGAGGAATGTCTGTTTATCAGAGGACACCCTTACGGAATGAACAACCAAGGCAGAATGTGGGAGAAGATATTTGCAAACATATAAATGACAAATTACTCATGTTTCTTATAAGGAAATACTACACATCAATCAAAAATTTAAACAGACAAGAGACCTTAACAGGTACTTAACAAAGGAATCCCCAAGAGGTTCATAAACTGTTGAAAAGATTCTCAGCATCATTACTTACCAGGTCTAATGCAAACTAAACCCACATTAATAAAACACTACTGCAAACCCATCAGAATAGTGAAAAGTAGAAAATAGTTAAGATGTAGAACAACTTACACACTGCTGGTGGGTGTGTAAAAGGACACAGCTATTTTTGAAAGCTCTTTGGCACTATCTATAAAGCTGTTTAAATGTATACAGATGGTAGCTACCCTTGTAGTGAGCAGAGCATAACGTATACCATTGTCCAATCACAGTGTTGTACCCCTGAAATCAATGTAATAGTGTAAGTCAACTATACTTCTATCCAAAATATTTCCATCTGTTTTTAAAAAGGATAACGTAAGACCCAGAAATTCCATTCCTGGAGTGCAGAGCCAATAGAAATTCAAATACACCCACCAAATGGCCCGTAGACCAATATTCACAGTAGCTTTATTTATAATAGCCAAAAACTAGTAACAACCCCCAAGCCCATCAACAGTACAGTGGACAAATAAATTGAAACATATTACAGCATTTCACACTGTGCTGGCTCATACAAGCTCATAGGAAACCATTACTAAATGTTTAGGAGTTTTGCAAATAGGTTGTGAAATAGAACTGTTCTTAAAAGTTAAATTATAGAAACTTATAATTAGACAAATGTTATTTACAACAAAAAGAATATACAATGAAAGTAATCACATTCTCTTACATTACTACATTTTACTATCTATGTTTCTGAGGGCATTTATATCCATTGTACCTACGTAGTGGGAAACGATACTGCTTACACACCTCTCCCCCAGTTGCATTCAGCAAGATCATTTCGGTAGCTTGCAATTGGCCATTGTAGGGATACTTATGCCATGGAAATTGGCGAACACTACAAATCAGACTTTTTCTTTTTCTTTTTTTCCTTTTTTTCTCCCCAGAGAACCAGTTGTTTTTAAATATTTAGCACACACCGCTGCTTCATATACTGAACCGCTATATAGCAATGAAAAAAAGAATGAAATACTGTCCTTGCAACAATAAGAATGAATCTCAAAGACTTGTTGAATAAAAGAATTTAACACAGGAGGTCACGTGATATCAATTCGCCTATGTAAATTTCAAAACCGACAAAATTAATTATCAGGATAAAGATGAGAATAATAGTTACCCTAGGGGAGGTTATTGACGAGGTAGGGACACAAGACAGATTTCCGGGGTCTGGAAATACAAATCCTGATCTCAGTGTTCATTAACAGGTATACATATGTGTAAATATTCATTAATCTGTATACTTAAAACTTGTACATTTTATCATATGTAAGTTCTACCTCAAAATTAAAAACATGCAAATTACTACTCAAAAAATTACTACTGAGACTTGCAAAATATAAATACACATATACTTGTATTCATATGTATACAATACATGCACATATGTCTTGCTTTCTTAAAATGATTTTTTAAACTTCTATTGAAATAGGTCACTGATGATGTTTTAGTATGCCTACAATCTATCAGGAGAGGTTCTAATGCTTTTTTTTAAATTTTTTAACATTTGTTCATTTTTGAGAGAGAGAGAGAGCAGGGGAGAGGCAGAGAGAGAGAGAGAGAGGGAGACATAGAATCTGAAGCAGGCTCCAGGCTCTGAGCTGTCAGCACAGAGCCTGACGTGGGGCTTGAACCCATGAACTGTGAGATGATTACCTGAGTCGCAGTCAGACACTTAACTGACTGAGCCATGCAGGCACTCCATCTAATGCTTATTTTTAAAGCTCTAATGTCTTATATTTGGAAAAGAGAATTCTGCTCTGAAAAAATACTTAAATATATGTTCAATATATGTAAGTAGAATATTATTAAGGCTTTAAAAATAAGAAACTCTTGCCATTTGTGGAGGACATTGTGCTAAATGAAATAATCCAGACACAGAAAGACAAACCCTGCCTGTCTCACTTATACATAGAATCTGAAATAGTCAAACTCACAGAAGCAGAGTAGAATGCTGGTTGCCAGGGATAGGGGAGGAGAAAGGAGAGATGTTGGTCAAGGCATACAGAGTATCAAGATACAAGAAGAAAAAGTTCTGGAGACCTAAGGTACAGCAAGAAGAATAGAGTCAACAACATTGTATAGTTGAAATTTTCTAAGTGTTCTCGCCACAAAACAAGAAAAAAAAAAAAAAAAAAAAAAAAAAAAAAAGAAAGGAAAAGAAAATGGTAACCGTGAGGTCATGGTTACTTTAGCTTGACTGTGGCAATTATTTCATAGTGTATACAGATCTCTAAACATCAAGTTGTACACCTTAATATATAGAATTTTATGTCATTCTACCTCAATAAATATGGCAAAAAAAATTAATAAGGAAAAATGTGTACGTACAGCAAAATCTTTTCAGAAACTTATTCTATTAAAGGACTCAGATACTCTAACGAAGTCTGAGTCCCCTGTCATCCCAACATTACTGAACTACCAACCTGCAAGTTCTGTAAAAAGTTTCCTGCGGTCATGAGTTTTAAAGACTCCTGCCAGGAAGGAATTGTACAGCTTCTTTCCAGGTCAATTTTCACTGCATTGACTTTCCTTTGAAACAGGAGCAGCACACAATCCATGATCCTCATGATGAGGTGTGGTGGTCGGCCCAATGTGCGGACAGTGGCGATGTCCGAAGGCTTGATAGTCTGTGAGAGAAGAGGTCATCGTGCAATCTCAGATGAGAAAGTGTGGACAAACCTGTAATCTCTCAATGCTATTTTGACAGAGGAAAGGAAGCGTATTTGAGCTAGATGCAGTCATAAGGTTGAGATGCATATTTAATCCCAAAGAAACACATGTCCCAGAAAGTTCAAACTTCTACAATTCAAACTGACAGCAAGAGGAGAGACAGTGAGGGAAATATTGGTGAGCAGATAAGGAGCTGTGACTTCTCCAAAATTGTACAGACCACTTTGTGTCAGAAAAAGAAAAGGGGGGTGTGATCTGAAAGAAAAAGAAAACTCAGCACTCAAGGAGATATGAGGAATTCTAACCCAGGAAAACTCCAGAATGTGCAGTGCTTTTTACTCATTAGTGATGTAGGGCAAGAATCTGCCTCTCTCTTTAGCAACCCAGACTTGTCACAGTGGACCGACACAAGCAGGTAGCCCCAGGGCTGACAGACTGAATAATTAGAGGTTTCTGAGTGGAAGTGACCTTTAAATGATGGAACTTAAGCAATACGAATTTCACTAACTCAGAGAAGTCCTGTTCCATTTCTATCATGGAGATTCTGATAGAGTAAATTATTTAATAGTCAGATAGACCCACTGTGGTTGCTAATAACTGTTCTGTCTCTTAAACACTTTATGGGATAAGTATGGGAAAAAATTCTAAAGATAAGAATCTGATACGGTCCTATTTCTGGGACAAATAGTGTATATTCATTCCTTCCAGATGTTGAAAACCTTCTGTCTTAACTGCATTTGCATCAAAGGAAGGTGACCAGAGACCTTGGTATCAAAGCTAATAACCTTTTCTCTGAGGATTGGGGGAAAAAAATGAAGAAAAAAAAAACCCCCACTGAATTTCGGATTGTAACTACATACTTTGGAAATGTTTGTTTCAGTCGATGCGTATTTGTGATGCAAGACAACCGGAAGTGAAGGAGAATTTGTGTTCAAGGGCTAGAAACAGCTGACAGATCTTTATATGAGACATGTGGCTATAAAAAAAAGGAGAGAAATATAATAGCAGCCAGTGGGGAAAGTAGGGTCAAATAAATGTTGTAAGTAAATGTTAAGTAAAGGATGTAAGGAGCCGGACACGCTGATTTTACTTTAGCTTTAAAAGAGAAAATTGTCTAACAGAATTGGGCTCAATTATGTTGGGTGCCCAGATAAAAGGAGTTGGGGGGAGAGGTATGTCTAAAGCTCAACCTATTTCAGCTAAGTATTGGATTCCTCTTTTCTCTGAAGACAAAGCAGTGCGACTGCCACATAATTTCCTAGACATGCTTGCAATATAATAGTTATTTAACATCTGGAGGTATTTTGTTTGTTTGTCTGGAGTCAGATTAGTTTTGAGATAGGAAGAGAAATATTCTTTGTCCTTACCTTATTTCTTGTATAGATTTATGTGGCCTGAAGCCAAAAGGTTAGTTTGAGGGGATCTAGAGCTTCTTAGAATAAATTGGTAGTACCATATTTCAAGATTTCAAAAGCCCACAAGGAAGCAATAAAATGGAGGCAGAACCAATGAAGGAAATTATTGAAAATCTCTCCAATACACCCCATCATGTTACCCCTATTTCCAGACATCTCTGCATTGATGTTTATGTGGAATATCTTAGTGGTAGAGAACATGAAATTAGGAGGATAAAGAAAAATATTTTATAATACAGAAAAGATACTGAGCCTTTTAAATCTTGGGAAAATTTACACCTTTAAGCATGATCTAAGATGCCATAGGCTCTTTTTCTATGATGCCATGGGGTATCATGAGTTAAGTAAAGATTTAAAAGATTCTTTACACTATCAATGTCTTCTTTGTATTGATCAGAGACCCACAGTCGGAAGCCAAGATGCCCCAAAAAGGGGGTTGGGTGGAGACCAGGATCTCGAAGAGATATCTAACCCCCACGCTCACTGCAGCACTATTTACAGTAGCCAATATATGGAAGCAATCTAAGTGGTCATCAGTGGATGAGTGGATAAAGAAATGTGAGATATACATGCGTAGAGAGAGGGAGTGTGTGTGTGTGTGTGTGTGCGTGTGTGTGCGTGCGCGTGCGTGTGTGCGTATGTGTGTGTGGCGTGCCTGTGTTCAATGGAATATTATTCAGCCTTAAAAAAAATAAAGGAAATACTGCCATGTGAGATAACATGGATGGACCTAGGGGCCATTATGCCAAGTAAAATAAACTAAATATAGAAAAACAATATGATCCCATTTACATGTGGAATCTAAAACAGGCGGATTCATTGAAGCAGAGAGTGGAATGGTGGTTGTCAGGGTCTGTCAGGAAGAGAAAATGGGGAGCTGATGGTTTTCAATTATGCTAAATAAATTCTGGAGAGTTACTACAGAGCACAGTGCCTATCGTTAACAATACTGCATTATATACTTCAAATTCGTTAAGAGGGTAGATTTTAGGTCCTATGTTAAATGTTTTTATGACATGAGAAGCAACAACAACAACAATGGCATTAAAGGGAGCGGTGGGGAAACTTTGGGAGGTAGTGGACATGTCAATGGGCTCGAAGTTAGGGATGGTTTCAAGGTATATATTTATTCCCAAACTTTCCGAGTTGTATACAGTATACACGTCCTGGTTTTTACATGTCAGTCATACCACAGTAAGTTGATTTTTTAAAAACAGGCAGGGGGGAGATGAGGAGTCCACCAGTCTAAGAGACTGAAGACCCCACGGGGCTTTGAGGATGAAGAAGCACACTCTAGCCAGTGAAAGGAGGAAGACAGAAACAGTAAGTGAAGACACATCACAGTAAGAGTAGTGTGAAAAGTTGGAGGGACAAAGGAGGTGGCCATATCTTCATTGCTTCAAAAGAGTAGAAACTCATATTTATATATTGCTCAGGAAACTAAAAGACTCAACTTGGATCAAAAAAGATTTAGAAGTGTTCAAGGCAGTGAGCCAAAGAAGCGATTAAAAAAGTTTGCATTGTCAAGCAACAAGGCATGCTTAGTGGGGGTTCTAGAACTTGAATTAGCTGTGGGCAGATCATCAGGACTTCATTTCTCCAGCCATTTCCTAGACCAGGAATCAATAACATAAGGCAGTAGCTGAGTAAGACCGAAGTAAAGGCAATCTTCAATCGAGTCCCCAGAAATCTTCAATTGGGCCTTCGAAACTGGACCAGCTCTTTAAGGTGGGGCCTATGTCACTAAACTCATCATATTTTCTCAGAATCCAACCTCCTTCCTAATTTTGCCATTTCTGCTATTGCCACGCAAGTTGAGACCTGTTCAGAGCCTGCCGTTTACGGGCTACATTAGGTCAGCAGCTCTGTATTTGGGTAAAATCCACAGATACAGTCAGAGAACGTTGTCTCTTACAGACCCATGCCAGGGTCCTCAATGAATGGGGAGAGAAATGTTATTTTAGAAATTTTATGTGACTTTCCCAATGTCACATAGCTTATTGGTGACAGAGTGGAAATGAGAACCCAGGACTCCTGACCGCCAATCTAGACACTGCCCATCATTCAGGAGTGAAGAAAATGAGATGCGAAGTAGCAAAAGCAAGATCTATACGGAGCTAATAACATCACCCTGCAGAAACTATTCCTTGAAATAGTTCCAGGGAAGACCTTTGGTCTAGAGCAGTAGAGCGTTTCCTTGCTGTTATTCATTTTCCTTCGCCCTCCTCCCAGGCGCTAAACTTGACACCTGCCATATCATACAGATTTACCTGCAGGGCTGCTTCTGCCTCTTCTAAAGCTGGTTTTGCGGTTTCCAGTTTTTCTTCAGCGATGGCTTTGTCCTTAGAGATGCTGTCTACAATGGCTTGGGCTTTGTCCTTCACCTTCTGTACCTCAGCCTTGACCTTCTCGGCAGCCTGCGCTTTCATTGTCACTTCTTTTAAGACCTAATTCAATATAGAAGGGGAAAAAAGCTCACAGAACAAACCTTGGCAGGCTGAAAATGCACATTTTTGCCTTGATTTGTTGAGTTGGTCCGGTACCGTTTCCCAGTAAGATTAAGAGTATTAGATTCTATTGGAAATAATTTGTACTTTCATGGTGACAACTCAGTGAATATGCATACGTCGTTAACACTTATTACCAGGAATTTAAAACAAATGTGGCACACGTGTGAATGCCCACGCACCGTGTCGGCTTTATCATTGGCCACTTGGAGCTCCTTTTCCTTCACTGCTAGTTCTGTGCTCAGGGCTGCAACAGATTCTGAGGCTTCTTTTAGTTTTTCCAATCCAGTATTCATTCTAGGATTGAAAATCCAAGCAAGCCATGGTTAAAATTTGTGGTTTTCCAAGCACTGGTTCATTAACACAGACAGCAATGGTCGCATTTGAAGAATGAGGGTCTGTGCAAATAGCAAATCCAAGAGGGCTTGACGAAAAGAATATGCATCCAGGGTTGATGCCTAACTAAACACGTCCATATGTTTTTCACACACCGCATGTGGGACAGTGAACCCATTACAACGCTGCACGACATGAAGAACAATCGTGGGTCTAGAATCTGTATCATGAAGGAAACAGGCCTAATGAAGTTTAGTTAAATGACATGAGACTTCAAATGCTTGAAACCCAAATCTGGAGGAAGGAAAATAAATAACTTCTGTTTTGTTTTGTTAAAAAGACCAATTAAGTTAAAAGAAGAAAGATTTGGGGTTAAGGAATGAAACAAATCAAGGAATGAAGCCATCAGAACCACCCTGCGAAGGGATGCTGCCTGTCTGGGCCTGAGATAATGTAACCTCAAAGACCAGGGCCCTCAGAGTCAGTCAGTCCAGTGTCCCACCCAGGGTCCCTTATGAAGCATCCCTGGCTGGTTCTGGCTATATCCAAGCAGAAGCTATAGGTGTTCAGAAGAGAGCTGGGCAGAGCAGTGAAATCTGGAACAGAGTTCAGTGAAGCAGGGTATTCTCCAGGCAGTGAACGTCAGCATTCCAGAGAAGGACGAGTGGAGGGAGGCAGGCAGTCTGAATTCTCTATTTCCGCCATTATGTCATTCAGTATCATAGCAAGTAGCAGGTCACATGAACACTTGGCAACACTTTATTCTCCTGGGCAAAAACAAAGCTCCTAGCAATCATGGACTAATCCTTGGAATAGGCTTGAGAGGAGGGTGCCTCAGCCTCAGCACTATTGGCATTTGGGGCTGATTCTTTGCTGCAGAGGACTATCCCGTGCACTGTGAGATGTTAGCAGCATCCCTGACCTCTACTCATTTGCCGCCAACAGCACCCCTTCCCGACCGCCTGAGTTGTAACAAACAAGAATGTTTCTAGTCATTGCAAAATGCTCCCTAGGAGCAAATTTGCTCCCCGTCGAGAGCCAATGCTTTAAAACAGCTTTATATCCGAACTTCACACTTACCTGTTGGCCAGGGTTTGCACTTCTGCACGCTTTTCTCCATATGTGAGCATATAGCCTTGAATAAAGGAGAGGTACGACTTGGGAGTCACATGAGCAGGCCGTCGGAATCTCTGGAAATAATCAACACACTTCTCAGCTACCCCGTCCTGGAAGGAGCCCATGCATTGGACCACTGCCTTCTTGGTTTCCAAACTGCAGTCAATATCATAGGGGGACAGGAAGTGTTCAGACACTAGAAGGAATAAGGACGGCAGTGTGTGAAATATACACACGAATGACCATCTGAAAAGTTAACTGGCTAATTTTGAAAGATTTAGACATTTTTTAGGACTGCAGACCATTTTTATACCCAAACTTGGTAAATATCTGTCAGCATTTTTGGCCCCAGGCCTATGATTTCAACAATTTTATTTTCCCTTTCATTTATAAAGCTGTAACAGACCTCAAGACTATCATCAGCCTTTGTTTTCTGTTACTTATGCAAAGAAGTCTCTTCTGCATGGCTGCGGGTTCTGGTCAACTGCCAGCCTGTTTTATGCTTCGCAGAAGGGCAAAAGTGGTACAAATAACTCAGAAATCAGTGCCCACCTGGTACTCAAATTTAACATTCCCATTCATTTTTAAATGCAGAACCTGTCATACCCTTAATTCCCCCAGGCTCTGACTGCATTTGGTATGTGGAATGTTTGCCACTATATTTTTTTATGCCAGGGTCATCCTGTTCTTAAAAGGGGTGGGTGGCCATTTGCAGTCAATTCTAATTTACAGTGTCCTTTAAAAATGTTTGGGTAAAAACCTCCTGTTGAAGACCTTTGTCTTCCGATACTGCCAATCATGGGACCCATTCTAAGGCAGCATTTCCTATTATAGGAAGAGGCCATAAAGCCAGACCTAATCAATCACCACAAACACGCTGAGTGCGGCACACCGAGCCCTGTGATGGCACCGTGGAGCTAAAGACTAGTATGAAATTTGGCCTCAACGCCAAGGAATTTACAAAGGTCATGCACAATGCAGTTAGAAGTTATCATAACCAACTTTATGTATCTTGGGGGATACAAAACTGCGTACGGATTTGCTTGAAAAGTACTTAAAGCATTGAATAATGTACATAAGAGTTGCAAATAGAAATATGGCCAATAAAAAGGGAAGGAAAGAGAAGGAATCAAGTAAACAAACCTATCTGGTGATAGTTGGCAAAGAAATAAAAAATGATTAGCAACTGATCACTAAATTAAGTTCTTAAAGCAATTGTGGGGTAGTGTTTACATCTATGTAAATAATAGGTACCATTTCTCGGCTTGGTTATAAACAAAGTTTACCATATACATTGAAAGGCCATAAATTAAGACTCAGAAGTCATATTTTCTGATATGAGTTAAGCAATCTCTACAAAGAACAGTTTAACTTCTAGGAAGTTTAAGTCTAGGCACCAGGAACACAGAAACAATCTTTGCCTAGGATAAAGTTTTTGTAGGTATTAACCCCTACAGCTGCAATATTCACCATGCACCAGGCATGATACTAAGTGCTTTACTTGGCATTACAGGGTATCCTCAGGGAGGTTCCCACTTTCTGAAAACCTCCTTGTATTTACTATGTAATGATTTTTTCCCTTCTTATGTGAACAGAGAGTATCAATATGGAGAATTCTTTTTTATGTAGCAAGTGCTGTTTTTATCTCTCTAAAAGTCAAAGAGAATAAAAATAGAGTAGATTCAAAGGATATTTTTCCAAGGACCCACAATCTCTGGTGCAGGAAAGGTTATGAAAACAATCAGATCACTTTTACTTAGCGTGACCAAAGCCTGCTAAGCTCAAGCAAGAGGCCATGGAAAACCCTTCCAAGGTCATCTCTATTATCTAATCACCAAAGCAGCAATGCCAGTTTGGAGGCCCATCTTCAGACTGAAGCCTGAGGTTGGTTGGTATGGGTTATATTTTGGTGTTGTGTGCTCACAGCACTTGATGGGAATGAGGTGAGGTATGTGTGGGATAGAGAGGAGAATGTTCGGATCACTGCCTGAATTTTGGTGCCCTTCAATTTCCACTTCATTGAGATGAAAAGAATTGAAGTAACAAAGTGAAAGAGGGACATGAGTTGCCTATCCAGCAGCCATCTTTGTTACTAAAAGAATCTCTATTTTGCTCAAGGCAACAATCTGCCCAACTAAAATTCGTCGATTGTCCAGACTCTCTTACAAGTAGGGGTGACCCAGTTGAGGCCAATGACGTGCAGACAAAAGTTCTTGGGGAAGAACGTTGCCCTGAACTAAAAGGCAAATTTCACAAGGCATCAACAAACATAATGTCTGGAGATGCAACAGCCACCTTGTGCCTGTAAGAGTAAAAGCCACACCCTAAGGACAACAGCAAGATAGAAGGAGTAAGACCCCCCAAATGGCATCATCCTGGACTGCACAGCTCTGTATTTTCTTGGCAGCAGGAGAAGGGGGGAGAAAAACGTACTTGCTTGAGCAAGCACTTCTCTGGTTTTCTCTTACAGCCAAACACATTCTTAACCGATACCTTCAGAGGGCAAGCATGTCTAATCTTGACAAAACCTTATCAGTTAATCCTTACAACATCCCTAAGTGATGAATTTTAATATGTACCTTTTGTACAGAAGAATAATGAGGCTTAGAGGACTTTCCTTGCAGATGGCAGACGGGCTATTCGATCCAAGGATGATGGACTCCAAAGCCCATGTCACCTTGATTTAGAAATCCAAAGACAACTGAACTCTGTAGTCTTTTAGAGTGCTAAGCAAACACATTCAACTGCAGCACCAAGTCCAAAAATATTTATTGACCAATGTGCTTCATAAGCAAAATAGGCTAATTTTCCCAGAAAAAATGTGGATACTGTTGTGGTTGGCATTACTTTCTGAGGGGTTAGCACGTGAAGCTGCCTTCTTGATGATGTATCACCAGCTGTGAGCGGCTGCAGAAGCAGGGTGGCTAGCTCATAAGACCATGTCTTGTATATTATAAATCAAGTAATAATTCTCAAAGAAGGCCATTTTATTCCCACATTTAAAATGGCCTTCTTTGAAAAAAAAATACACCATATATATGCTATTGATTTTGCTTGAGACTTCATTTTCAAGTGAAGATGGCCTATTTTTATAACAATGTGCTTATTTAAAATGTAATCTAGAAGAACATTAAAAATTACCTTTACCATGGAGAAATCTAAATAAAGTTCATGGGTTTAGGAGTGACATTAGCACCACAGAGTACCATTAAGAAATGCAAGACTACTATCTTAATAATACTGGAATTAAACGAAAAACCCTAATAAAAAATGAAATAGGAAAGGAAAATCAAAATGCCTCAGCTGATGGAAACCTCTGCCCCTCATTCTCCAAAAAAAAAAAAAAAACCAAATTAAAACTGTAACACACCACAAATTGATGCCAGTATCCCCAAAGAAGCCTTTGAATGAGTCATAAACTACTTTGAATCATAAATTCAAAAGTTAAAAAGAAACTGATCAAATAGTGTATCAGGAAGAAATGAAAACAGGAATTGACTAAGCTCAGGAAATAAGAAGAAAAAGACAAAACCATCTTGGAAATGAGGACTAAACTAAAGGTAGCCAAGGAAGGGACAAAAAAGAGAAAAAAAAAATACAGACAAGACCACCAGAATGAAGAGAATACAGACATTTAAAGAAACAATTCATTCAAGACAACGCCATATAAAGCTAAAAACAAAGGTTTGCCAAAATGGAGGTTATTAAATGGTGGAAAAGACAAGACTTTACAACATAAAACAAGGCATATTTTTCTTTAAATGCTTTATCAAGAGACTTAGTCAATTTAAATTCACATATGAAAAAACTCACATTTTTCCCAAAAGCACTTTAGTTATGAAAATACTACAAAATCTAGTATTAACCTTCTAAGTAAGCATCTTTAAATTAGAAAAATACTCTGTGCAATAACATCAATCCAAAAAAGAAATTAAGAAGAACTAATTTATAATGATAGCATCCAAAAGAATAAAATAGGTAGGAATAAACTCCATCAAAGGAAATGAAAGACTTGTACGCTAAAAACTATAAACTACTAATGAAAGAAATTAAAATAAACACAAATATATGAAAAGACATCACATGTTTATGATTTGGAAGAATTATTATTTTCAAATGTCCATACTACCCAAAGCCATCTACAGATTCAATAGAGTCCTGATCAAAATTCCAATGGCATTTTTTTACAGAAATAGAGAAAACAATACTAAAATTCATATGGAACAACAGAAAACCCAAAAAAAACCAAAGCAATTCTGAGCAAGAACAAAACTGGAGGTGTCACACTTCCTGATTTCAAAATATATTACAAGGTTACAGTAATTAAAACAGTGTGGTATTGGCCTTAAAAATAGACATATAGACCAATGGAACAGAAGAAAGTTCAGAAATAAACCCATATATATATTGATTTTCAACAAGGGTGCCAAGAATACACAATGAGGAAAGGATAGTCTCTTCAATAAGTGGTGTTGGAAAAAGTGGAGATCTATATGCAAAGGAATGAAATCGGACTACTGTCTTACACGATACACAACACTCTATGTATTGTTTAATCTATTTTGAGATTAAAATAGATTAAGTAGATTAAAGACTTAACCATAAGACCTGAAACCATAAAACTCTCAGAAGGAAGCATAATGGGTAAGCTCCTTGACAATGCTCTTGGCCATAATTTTTGGACATGACACCAAAAGCACAGGCAACAAAAGCAAAAACAACATGGGGCTACACCAAACGAAAAAATCTCCTGCACAGCAAAGAAATCAATTAACAAGTGAACAAGTAACTTATGGAATGGGGGAGAAAATATTTGCGAACTGTACCTCTGATAAGAGACAACATGTGAAATAAATAACTCCTACAACTCAACAGCAAAAAAACAAGTAACTTGATTAAAATGGACAAAGTGGGGAGGTGCCTGGGTGACTCAGTCAGGTAGGCGTCTGACACAATTTCGGTTCAGGTCATGTTCTCATGCTTCGTGAGTTCAAGCCCCACATCAGGCTCTGTACTGACAGCGTGGATCCTACTTGGGATTCTCTCTCTCTGCCCCTCCCCTGCTCACACTGTCTCTGTCTCCTGAAAATAAATAAACAAACTTGAAAATATTTTCTAAAAAAAATGGATAAATTAACTGAAAAGAGATTTCTTTAAAGAAGACATACAAATGGCCAACAGATATATGAAAAAGTG